GAAGTTATTAAAGAAAAGTATAAAAAGTTTTGGCCGACATATGGAGCACTAGACGAAACAGAAAAGGAAGATTGGTTTAGTTTATTTCAGGTATAAAAGTAACTATTATTTTAATTTCTTATATATTTAGTTTATTTCATGTTTAACATTATTTAATTTTTTAAAATTCATAAAACAATGTAGGAGAAATGTGTTTGGGACTTTACAGAGCAGCAACAAGTAAGAGAAAATTTTGATACAAAATGTGCTGCCCGATTATCCGACACACTTAGACGTGTTCGAATTAATTGGAAAAATAAAAGACCACGTCCTTGTTGGATAGGTGAAGATGTATTTAAGCAACTTATTGACCATTGGAATTCGGAATCCTTTAAGCAAATATCTGAAAAAGCAAAAAAAAACAGGGCATCTGAAATTGGTGGCTGCAACTACGCAGCAGGAAGTATTAATGTTGCTGAAATTGCACATAGGCTGGTAAATATATTTATTTTTCGTAAGTTTTCATTTAAAATTTAGATTATAACAAAGTATTTTTTCACTTATATGTTTTATTTTATTAGCGTGATGAGTTGGGTAGAACTCCGATGCTTAATGAGATCCATCTAGAGACTCATATCAAGAAAAATGGGGAGTTTGTCGATAAACGCTCAAAGGAAACTCAAGTAAGTTTTGCTAAAATTTAGTCATTCTATTTCTTTCTTTTATAACATGTTATTTAGTCATGTTATTTAAATTATTATAACATCTAAATTTTTTATATAGGAGGAGTATGATCGAAGACTTGCACTTTCTTTATCTGAGCATCCTGAGTTACCTCCACCACCACAGGGATACCCTTTGATCCTTGTCTAGGTTTTCAGACTTGGTATGATGCTGCACGCGGGAAGAGGAAAAATGGAAGGGTGTATGGTGCTGGAGGGTATGCCAAAACAATTAAGCGGTGTGATAGGACTTTCAGGATGAGACTTGATGATGGAGAAGGATCATCACGTCCACCTATATTAACCGCTGATATGCTTGAAACTGTGAGAAATTTGGCTCAGACCGAGGCAGCACGTGAGGCAGCAGCTAGACAAGCAGAGATGGAGGAAATGAGGAGAAGACAAGCTCAGATGGAGGAAGAATTGAAGAGAAAAACAGCGGAGTATGAGGAAGCAATGCGGATTGCAAATGAGCGCGCATTGAAATTTGAACAATTTATGGCAATGCATATGAATCAAGGTGTGGGAGGAAGAAATGAGGAAGATGAGGAGGATGAGGAGGATGAGGGGGATGATGAAGAAGTTGACTAAATGTGTTATGAATTATATATATATATTTTTATATTTTATTTTAATTGTCATGAATTATTTTTATTTTAATGATAGATTTGAATATTTACTTTTATTATACTTTTAGTTCTGAATTATTATTTTACAAAATATATATTTTTATTTATTATATAATTATATTAAAATATATTTTTATTTATTATATAATTATATTATTTTAATTATAATAATATAATTATAAAATGTAATAAAAATTTATTATATAATATATTATTATTCTAATATATATTTTTTATTATATAATTATATTATTCTAAGTATAATAATATAATTATAAAATATAATAAAAATTTATTATATATATTATTATTCTAATATAATTATTTCAATACAATTATTAAATTTAAAAAAAAATAATATAACTGCTGGCTAGGGGCTAACCCCTCGCAAATCCAAAAATGGGGGACACCTGGCTAGGGGCTAAACCCCTCGCAAATGCATTACACAGCTGGCTAGGGGATTCGCCCCTCACTAATTTAAAGAATCACGTGATTTAGCTAGGGGCTTAACCCCTCGCAATATGCTGTGACAGGTCTGAACCCTTCTCTGGCTCTACTCTGTGGCTACGTCTGTGGTGCAGAAGTGGGATTTTTTTAAATTACATTTTGCGAGGGGCTTATCCCCTCACCATTTTTGCGAGGTGCTTAACCCCTCACCAATGATTTGCGATGCCCTGATTAGCTAGGGGCTCTGTCCCCTCGCAAATCTTGGTTTTGTGATGAGTTTTTTGACTTAGTGAGGGGTTTAACCCCTAGCTAATTCCAGTTTTTCTTGTAGTGTATGTTGATTGAATTGTATTATAGATTATTATACAAACAAATTGAATTATAATTGTAACATTTTGTCTATAACTTTCTAATGCATGTGTTGTTTTGAAAAACTTGAAATAAAAGAACAATTATATGACTTGTTGAATTATTCATGTTTTCTTTAGAAATAGATGTTAATTTTAAGAAAATGAAGGATTTGATTAGTGTATACTTGTGACAAATTTATGATTTAACTATCTAACTATTAAGGAATCAGTCGAAATAAAAGTCTATATGATGTAAAAAGTGAGAAGGTTAAGTGTTAATATTTTATGCACAACTATTTTCTGCATTGTGATGTTTTATACATATTGTTTATTTATTTTGATACGTTTTCTATTGTGTTTGAGTTTATTTCATTTTTTTTAATTAATTTTTATTTATTTTATTTTTTGAACTGTTTGTACTTAAAGACATGTTGAACTTCTATTATGTGTTAAAAAAATCTCTCGTTAAAAAACGAGACGGACTTGACTTTTAAGCTCGAACGGTTAAGTTGGTCCTCCCCACCCCACTTTTAGAAAGACTTAAATGGGGCGAGTCTAAACGGGACGGGCCGCCTAATTTTCCACTCCTAAATACAACAATTGCATTGCATATAAAATAATAAAAATATATAATAATAATAAATAATAAAAGTATAATAAATTAAAATAAAATAAATATAAATAAAATATTAATATATAAATTAAATTTGTGAAATTTAATATAAATTCTTTAGAATTGCAACGTTGGAATGAAAAATTACATAAGTTGATTCAAGTTGATCTGCCTTAATGTATTAACGAAAATCTAAAATGAATAGCATTAGAGATGCTCTTAGAGCATCATTAGTTAGAGTATCTTAAGTGGATAAACTAAGATATTTTTTGTGGGTCCAAAGTGATGTGTAAGATTTAAAAATTTTATAATTGATTTGAGTTGTTTTTACTTTAATGATAATTGCTTATAAAAAATTAAAAGTTAACTCTATATTTTATATTTTTTTATTGAAGTTACCATTACTCAAAAAAATTATAAGACTTTAATAATATAAATAATAATATTATATGTTTCAAAATAAATAGCATACGTAAGTTATATAATTGTCAGAAACTAAAAATTAATGAATTAAATGTCATATTATAATCATCGTTAACTATAAAAAATTTAACTATTAAAAATCTACATTAAAGATACTCTTAGATTTAGTAAAGTCTTCTGAAAAAATACTCTCGTGCAATATTTTTTTTTTTGGAATAGTAATATTACTATTCAATAAGTTTAACCATGAAGTTATATCAAATAATAATTCTCCCTCTTAAATGTTTTTTTCTTTTATATTAATCTCTATTGTCTCTGAACCGTTGGCTTAACGTAATTTAGCAGGAGGGGATCCTATTCCCTCGACTAGTGAATAATGGATATTAAATTTTTGTGGACATAAATTTCCTTAATTTGACGTCACAAATTCGTGGAAAAGTCACGTCACCATTTCGTTAATATAGGTCATCATCAATTATATGGCATCAACCATTTTTGCAACATAAGTTGTTTTTGGAAAATATAAACAAAATAGATATACAATAATCTAATTTAATGGTTAGATTAATCTTTTATTAATTAACTATTACATTATATTCAATTTAAAAGTTATGATTTGAAATAAATTAAAAAATCTTACTCTTAAAATAAATTAATTCCCACCTCTCTATATGTAAAAGCATAAATTCCAACTTTCTGACATTTTATCTATTCATTTTTAACAAATAAAATTCTAATTAATAAGTTACTAAGTAAAAGAAAAAATTATACATTTAATAATATTTGAAAATTTTTTATCCCAACATATAAATAGAAGAATATTCTATGAAAAATTAAAAATTATTCCTCAAGTTTTAGAGATGCATCTTCAGACGCATCTCATGTAAACACAATTTATTCATTTTTAAACTACATTCTAATTTTACGATTTAATTTATTTTCAAAAATATATTTTTGAAATATTTTCGAAAATACATTCTCGGAACTCACAAAAATACATAAATCCTATATGATGTTGATGATATTTATTCAAAAAACCATGTTGAATATAAGTGTATATGTAAGCTCTAAAAATGTAGTTTTGAAGAAATTTCAGAAATACATTTCTAAAATAATTTAAGTTATAAAATTTTAACGTGACTCAAAAATAAATAAGCTACGTGCACATATAAGATACATTCGATCCGGAAGTAACAGAAAGAAGTATTATATATAATCCACTTGTTGTATTATGATTCGGCAACAGGATGATCAAAGTACCTCCATACTTTTTCTAAGTCTTATATAAATATTTATATCTATGAATCGTTTAAAAAATAAATCTTTTCATTTTTTTTTCTACTTAATTTTTCGACCCTACTTAGTTAACAGTCACGGCATGGACACAATCCCTCCACGTACACTTTAAGGACAATTGCACAAACCTCATCCTAAATGTGGCTATGAATGAATCTTTAAAATTTATATCACCTCTATTAAGAAAATAAAAAATAATAATAATTTAAAAATATCTATTAGTGATTTCCTTTTTAATTTATAATTTTGTTAGATAATATTTTTTTATTTATTTTTGTGTTTTATCAAAAAATAGTTTTTTGGTGTGGGTTACTTAGCAATGTTAAACACTGAAGTACTAGTTGACAGTCACATAAATTATTTATCAAATAATAAAACATATAGAAAAAAAAAGTTTAAAAGCTATAATCTGTCGTATATATGCAATTGCAAATTGTTTCTATCATCATCTCATTGCAATTTTTTCCCAAATTGGTGGAAGAAAACAAGAATAAATTAAAAACATAGAAAAAATAAATTATATATATGCTGGCAATTAGTTCTATAACCATAGCATCTCTTCCATTTGAATGGGAGGCAACTCTAACACTAATCTTTCAAAGTCTTTGAATGACATCTTGCTCATCATCATTAGCTTAGTTGAAGCTGTTGAAGTTGCATCAATAATCTCTTCCTCTGGCTTATTGTTTCTTCTTTTGATCTCAGAAGTTACGGCCGTTTCGTTATTTCCTCGACCGATCCAGTCGGTCGAGGAATTCTTTCCGGTAAGGCTTTGAACAACGTCTCTGAAGTTCACCGCATCGGTTTGAACATATCGTGTTTCAATTTGAACAATCTTAGGACCTGATTTATTGTTTCTCATCATGGTATATATTTGTTCTCTTGATTGCTTTAAATGTAGTGTGTGAGAAAATGCATGGAAAATGTGGGTGTTAAATAGGTGGTGAATAGGGTAAAGGAAAAAGTTCATGCAACTTGATTTGTTGCATTGATTAGAGAGAGAGAGAGAGAGGGAGGGGGAGATTGCAGTCAGAGAAGACTAGTCAGTTGAAATGTGAAGTCCTAGTCAAATAGCACGCAACTTGGAATATGGTCAAATTTAATAATAAGTGTGTTCTTGATTATTAAGAATGGAAAGAGAAAAAGAAAGAAAAAAGAAACAAATGAAAATTAGTTAGTCCATAGTCCTTACTATATGTTTAGTCTCTCTCGCGTGGCAAGGAAATTTGATTCAATAATTTGCAGAATATATAAGTTTGAACTTCTTGATGATTAAGAGGTTTGGAAACATCCTATTGAATTTTCATCAACTAAAATAACCTTAAAACATTAACAAAGTCAATCACACTCCCAATTAAAAACTAATAGAAATTATAAAGTAGATTAGCAATAGAGATCCGTCTTACCGGACATATTAGTTTTGTCTACACTTTTTTATCCGACCAACATGCTTTTGTGGTGCGGACATTAGTCTAAACTTTTTCATTTTTAATTTTTTTTTAAATTTTATAGGTGCAGTATCTGCAGATCCTTCCCGTTTAGCCTTTATTTTTGCATGACATTCCAAAATTTTAGTTTCACAGACTCAATTATGGCATTCCCGCCTAATTGACATAATTAATAACCAAGGTGATGGTACTGATTAAAAAAAGGGTAAAATGACGAAGAGAGGGCAAAAATAGGTAAAAAGTGGTGTAAGTGATGATACCGCCATAATTTGAGTAAATACGCAAAAAATATAAATAACATACTATTTTTATACTGATTTGTTGTTAACTAAGCTACCTTCAATCCACCCTACCAAGATGATTTCACGTTCTCAATAAGGACTTTATCTACTATAACCAAATAGATTAAAGACACGACAAAGACAATTGTCTTTGTCTTCTCGAGTATACAAGCTAAACCCTAGTCACTCGAGGGAATCACTCAAATAGATTTGAGATTTTAAAGATTGTGTTTACAATGAATGCTTCTAGAAAGAAGATTAACACAATGTTTAAGTAGAGTGAAATACTCACACAATACGAACAAAAGCTCTATGTGTGTTTATACAATATTCACAAGAATAATATTATCAGAGAAAATGCAGCAACGTGTGAATAGCGTTTTGAGATCGTTAACCTCACTCAATCTTCCAAGTATCCCTTATATAGCCAAGAAAATATCCGTTGGAGGTTAGAAACATAACCTTCTTTAATGAGTTGGCACTTTGAATAATTATCATCAATGGTGGGAAACAAAATCGTACATCATAAATGTTTGTACTCCACGAAATCTGCATAGTGGAAGAAATGTTTTGATCTTGTACTATGTACTATTTATCTCACGTAAAACAGTTTGATCTTATCATCTTCTAATCATCAGAGGCTTCTGAATGTAGTTGTTGAAGCATGTTTAGAAGAATAAAGGGCCTTGTTGAGAGTCTTTAGAACTAAAGTCTTCAGAGCCTTGACATTATTCCTTAGAACTTTGTCTTCAGAGTCTTCAGTACTTCGTTATTCAGAATCTTTATATCTTGAGCGCAGAGTCTTGAAGGAGCGTAGAGTCTTGAAGGTGACATAACCTTCAGAGGTTCTAGAATTAGAATCATACTCAGAGGCTTTAGCACGAACGTTCTTTAGAACCGTTGTCTAACAGATTTTTAGATCTTAACAGCATTTTGTAACGCTCTTGTTTCTCTTCAGAGTCAGAGTGTGTTGATTTTAGAATATGATGACATCACTCGTCAATGCTTGAGTCAGAATCTGTTTATCAAAAGCAACACATTTTACAAAAATCATTAGTGTACAAAATTGTTCTTTAAGAATCAATGTATTGTTATCATCAAAACTAAAGGTCAGTTGCAGAACCAAAATTTGGTCTAACAATCTCCCCCTTTTTGATGATGACAAAACCATGTATTTTGATGAACAATTTTTGTTTAAGTGCATAAAAATATCAGAGTGAGACCTGTAAGCTTCCCCTGAATTTATATTGTTGAAAATTATTTTTAATCTTAGAATTTCAGAGTTAGGTTTGCAAACTCTCCCTGAATTTAAGACTTAATATACTTTTAACACATATAAACATTTTAAATCAACATAAAAGAAATAATTTCTCTGTTTGGCATAAGCCAAGTTGTTTTATTTTTTTCTTCAGATCAATAATTGATCAAAGTTTTCTAATGTCTAGTATTCGAGATTTTTGGTTGTCTGATATCAAAGCTTTTATGTTATAAGTGATATCAGAGCATGGTCATTAGTATCAGAACTTAGTAAAATAGATCACTGATTTGACTTGCCCAGAGTACAAATTTCAGAACTTGTATGCATCTGGTTTTAATACGTTTGATTTAATGCTTTAGAACCTGAAACACTTGGTCAGAAACATTTGCAGCTTCAACAGAGGTTTCAGCAGGAACCAAAGAAGTCTGAACAAGGGACAGAGGAGGGATCGCTTCTGGTGCTGGAAGCAGAAGAGTGGTTGAAACCTTCTGAAGTAGAGATTCAATTATGCCAGAGATTCTGACATTGAAGTTCCTCTTAGCTTTCTTCAGCCAATAAACCTCCAACTCTTTAGAGCTGACTGCAATCCAACTTCTGAAAGCTTCAGTCAGTTCAAACACTTTAGAGAAGTTTGTATTGTCTCTGTAAGCTTCAATTAGAGCTGCAAATATGGAAGAAGCTTCCTCTTCAAACTAAGAAAATAGTTCATCCAAGAGAGTAGGACGAATGTTTATTTTAGAGGGTGTTTGGTTGTAGAAGGGGTAAAAGTGTCTGTCTAGGTAGACAATGAGCTCAATTTCTGACTCATTATCAGAATTGGTGATTGGTTGAAGAATGTGGGTTTCTGAATTAGGTGTGTTTGGTGGTGGTGATGGAACAGTTTGGGATTGAGAGTGAGAAATACCAAGTTAGGATAGTTCAGATCTTTAAGATTGGGTTAAGAGAAAAGGTGGAAAAGATAGAAGATCAGTAATTGATGGGGGAATGATGATTATAGTTTATAGTTCGTAAGTGGTTTGGGGAGTTGAGGGAACATTGGGTTCCATAATAAATGGGATGGAATAAGTTATAGTAGATGTGGGTATGGATGCACTATTAACATTAGTGGGTTAAGGAGCATCAAAAGGAACAATAGTTCCAGTAGCAACAGTAGCAGCAGTAGCAATAGTAGTAGCAACAAATGTTGCTTCAGAAGAAGTTTCCAGAGTTTCCTTAGAATCCTTGGCACCTTTTGAGAAGATTTTTGTATCTCCTTGATGGCTTTTCCTCTTCTTCTTTTGCTTATGAGCAAACTTCCTTATCTCCTTAATAGCTTTTGGTTTCGAGGAACGAGCAAAAGAAGCAACATCAAAGTCGTTGTTGGCCTTTCTCTATTCATGGTTCGCCGACTCTGGGTTGGAGAAGATAGGAAAATCTACCAGAGGAATCCTCCTTCTAAGACTCTCCTCCTTGGGGATCTCAACAACTTAACTAACTAAGGCATGAATCATGCTCATATTCTTCAGAGTCTTTGCATTAAGAAAAATTCCAATAGAGGATACCAACCCTTTACCTTTTTCGTCATCTGTTAGAGAGTCTATCAAACAACTCTCCATCAGAATATGTGAAATAAGTCTGCTACATGCAATCCAGGATTTCATCTTTTTTGCTTCCGTTCCTAGAATCCTTTATAAAGTCTCTTAAGAACCAGAAGAGAAAGTGAGACATGTTTATTTTCTTCTCATAAGCAATATAATAAAGCATATATTGTTGATCCATGTTGATGTAGTCAGAAGAGCTGTTTGGCCTCATGGGAATGAAACATCCGAGAATGATCCTTGCCCAAATCCTTAGAATAGGGCGAAGGTTCTCGATTTTGCTAGCTTTTCTCTAGTGAGGGAAATATCTTTGGTTACCTCATTAGAATCAGATCTCTTATCCAACATTTGTTCACACTTTATTCCATTACCATCGTGACCAATGAGTTTGGCTATAAGATTTTCAGTGATGACAAAATTTTCACCAAAAATAGAGGACATTATTTGAGAATGGGAAGTCTTGGCATGAACCCATAAATTCCTTACAAGAACTGGAAAACTGGACCATGAAGATGGTCAAAAAATTAGTTCCACCCTTGAGCATGAACAGCAGGAAGAAGATCAAAACCATGAGCCTTCATACTTTCAAAATCAACGATGAGTTCACAGAAAACTTCCAGGTCTTCTACAGGTGTGGAGAGAGTGACTTCAAGAGTGTCGTATGCATCTTTAGTGCATAAAAACAAGTTAAGATGCACAATTGATGATGTTTTGTGAGAGTGAAGAAGGTGTGGAATATACTTGAGAGGTTGATACACGACAACTTTATGAACAACCTTTTTGAAATTAGCTTCATGTCGTTGTTCAGCAGAGAGTTGATGCTATGAAGAATGTTATCCTTGTTGTTGCGCTTATTGCAGTAGATATTATTGAGAAGATGATGAAGCCATTATTGCATAGAAAAGTTTTTAGGGTTTGAGAGCTTTTTGGTTTGAAAATAAGAAATGGATCGAGATCAAAAGGTTTTCGTACCTTCCCACCCAACCTATGCCTTGAGATTTATAAGTTGGGTTGAAGATTTATATACAATAATAGACATCAACCTCGTAGTCACGGGTCCTTCCTTCCGAGAAGCTGAAACAAAATACCGAAGGATGAACCCTCCTTAACCCACGCTTTTGAGCAATTTTGGTTGAGTTAAACATGTAATATGTTCTGTATCAGCGGAAGGTAATTTGAGATTAAGCTAGTTAACTCATAAAAGCAAGAGTTTCCACCATTCTTTATTGTTTCCAAAGGAATGGAAAAAGAACAAATGAAACCCACAGAAGTTTTAAAACAAAATTAATAAAATTAAGAGA